CTGCGCTCTGAAACCCATTATTTCCAATGACTTGCACGCCGCCACAGACGGGTTTTCGCTGCGTCGAGCAAATCGCACGCGCTGCGGTGTGCGCCGACCCCACCGCCGAAAGCCTCTTGAGGTCAGGGTTGTGGAGCGGGCTTTTTTTTGTTTGTCTCTCTGCGTGAGCGCGTATGAAATAATGCATGCATTTTTGTGTGTATCCTCTGAATCGGTGTGTAAAAGTGCATATGTGTGTTGGTGTCTGTGTGAACGTCATTGTGTGTGCCTGTCTTTCTCTGACTCCGTCCTTGTGTGTGTGTGTGTGTGTGTGTGTGTGTGTGTGTGTGTGTGTGTGTGTCTGTGTAGAATGGCTGTCAGTTTCGGTCTGGTAGTCAGCATAATTAGAAGTCTCTCTTTTGCCCCCGTCTCACTCTTACGGTTTCTCTCTTTCTCACTCCTCCTTTCAATCGCCCTTGCTTTCATTTACCCCCCTCTCTTTTTATACCTCTCTGTTTCTCTCTCCCTCCCACAGCGTTGCCTCTCTCCTTCAGAGTGATGAGTTTTAAATCATCCTTTCATTCTCTGTGCAATGATGGACGAGGGGAAATATGTCCTTTTCTCTGTGTTTATTCTGCTTTCCATCTCTGTCCCTCTCTCTTGCTATTTCATGCTTTATTCAAACCCGCCCTCCATCCCAGCTATTCAATTTAATGAAGTCACTTCACTTCGACTAAGACACCGTCCAATCTGTTGAGTTCAGATAAAATGGTGATGGACTTGGAGGCCGGTGCTTTAATTTTGCTTGATTTGAAATGATCATATATGGAATATTGTTGAGGCAACCTTACAGTGGCATTATTGGGGAATTGGTTATCAGGTTTAAAGCACCAGTGGAGGGGGTCATTCTGTGAGTCACCAGTCTGTGGGATTGGAAATCATTCAGGCAAAAACACATTTTGATTCGGACGTGTGTTTCATGTGCATGGAGACATCATCACATGGATCAGGGACAACTGAATCATGGATAATGACAGAAAAGGTATTGTATGTACTATATAGCTGAGGGGGGAAGTTCAGGCCCTTTGTAGTCTGGGGGTCTGTGGATGTGCCAAAAACTGGCTAGTGTGTGAAAATCCCCCAGACAGAAGTGCCAGATAAAATACTAAGTTCATACTGTCAGTGAATACCAACTGTTGAACTCATCTCTTTATTTCACAGCCTTTTATTGTCTTCTGTCTCCCTACAACATTGAGAGCCCACAAGACAGATATACAAGGTTAGCCTGAACCTTAATGAGCATTCAGAAAGCTATAAAATATGCAGAAATTTCATATGCACTCAAAACAAATAATCTGGCTGTAATAAAAGAAACCGAGCATGAACGTCGTCGTGATATCTGTGATTCAAAGGCCTGCTTCAACACAGATGTGACAAAGTTAAGTACACTTCACGCAAAATAAACGTTAACCACTAGCGGGATGAGAAGGTTGTCTATACAAGTTGGCTCTTCAATGTACGTCATCTGAAACAAGGTTGCGGTAAAATAACACTCAAATCACAACATTTATAAGTGTATTTTTCTGACCTTAAGAATCGGGAGCAGAGCTGGCCGAGAAGAGAGGCCTTGATCTAATATACACCTCTTTTAACCTTTTATTCAATTAGTCTGATAATTAAAACATTTGAGGCATGAAAAATGAACTGAAAAAGAAAAAATATACAAATATATATATATATATATATATATATATATATATATATATATATTACATAGTATATCTTCACAGCAGATCTTGTTGCCTAAAGACTCCATATATTGTAAGTCGCTTTGAATAAAAGCGTCAGCTAAACGACATGTAATGTAATGTAATATACATAACAGCCTTAATCCACGAAGGCACAATTAAAATCCCTGATTCGCTTGAGTGTTCTCTTGGATGTTTCATTTTGAAAACATCAGAAACCTTGGTCTGATAAGTCCGATCCTTTTCCTTTGAAACTGTGAATTGTTTGTTGTCCTCCCATGAACCTCTGCTCCGCGGAGTGCAAATCCCACCTGCCATTGATCACGGAATGAAACATGTGTGTCTACCCTCTCTGAACTGGGCCAAGAATGGCGGTTCAATAACTTCCTTTCTTGCTGTGCGCAATCGTGTTTCCTGGAGTGTCTCAAAGAATGTCTGGCAGTGGCATCTCCGGCCCGTTGTTTCCTTCTCAAGACAAATTGAATGAAGCAAAAAGTAGTGTGCATGTGAATGTTGGCTGCATGACTGTCCGCGCTATTCGTCTGTGTTTCTGCACGCGTGTGCGCTCTCATATGGCTCTGCTTGTCTCTCCCGGTTCCTCAACATCTCTGCTCTTATTGGTTGTGAAGGGACCAGGACAACAGCCCTTAATTGCAGCTCAGGCTGCCATTGGTCATTATATCTGTGCGATGGTCCTGGAAAATGTCTCGTTCAATGAGTGTTGGGCAAACACACACACACACGCAGGCATTCTCGACATACACACAGTTTTCTGTTTTGGGCTCTGTCTTGGATAATTGGTGCATCGGGGGGGGGATCACCTTGATGTCCCTTTGGACCTGGCTGCCTTGCTAAATTACAAGGCTCATGCACATGACAGGAGAGTGATCATCCTGATATGAGCTTTGCACTGCAAGGACTTTGAACATGTAGTAAAGAGCAGATTTCAATCACACACATGATACACAAGAGTACAGCAAATTCTAGAGCTTTTTCTGATGCTTATTTTCCTCTGTTACCAGCAAAGTCCAATGCGTAAAGAAAAGTCGACAGTCGGAGAGGTACATTATAGTGATTTGCAACATCAGCTACCAGCAAGAAGACGCAGGGTCAAGCCCTTATAACGGCAATGGTCGTCTCTGCTATACTTGATCGGGATAAATCCTACCAGCTCAAAGGGTTTCTGCTCTGTAAACTGACTGTGTAGTCTCTATCCTGCAGAGTGGAAGAAGTTAAGTTAAGAAGAAGTTGTATCTATAGAGCTTCGCTAAAAAATAATTAATTTAGTCTGGACCGACTTCACTACCTGGAAACTCCGAGGTTCATCTAACACCTGTGGTGTGCTTGATATAAAAGGGTGATGAAGATCAAAGGGAGAGGCTTATGACCCTGATGTGAACCGGGAAGCCCAAGCAGATCAATTCCATTTACATTCTGCAGTTTAGGCATTTAGCAGCCTCTGTAACCCGGTGAGATTTAAAATAAATATAGCAGCAGAATTTGCTCCACCACTGATTCATCAATAAAGGCAGCCTGTGAAAGGAAGTGGAGGATCAAAACAAGTCATACCCACTGCTCTCACTCCCCATAAACACCTTTTAATATGGTAATATTAAGTTGAAAAAGAAACACCAGAGAAGATTGTGATCATTTTTTTGTTGATATTGTACCTCTGTACACTTATTATACACATATCAATCCTTCAGCAGTTTTATGAACCATTTTCTTTGCTTACCATTTTAGTGTGTTTGGTATTTCATAGAAACAATAATCCATGCTTTATGCAAACGTCACAGGAGAATCAAATTGACCTAGAGTTATCTCTAAACTATAGTACTAATTATTAATTAACGGATGGAAGATAATTGTAAGCTGAGCCCTGGAGTAGTGTGTGCATGATAATGTTCATTGTTCCAATATTAAAAATAAAGCATTGGTGGGATATCGAGCACTGTGACATGGTTTGTATGCTGTGTTTGTCCTTCAGTAGGGAGAAAGAAAAGTTGACATCCACTAATATCTGTTTCAGTTAAAGTAATTGTTAGTTCTGCAAGAATCCAATAACTGCCCTAATCCTTTCTAGTGTGTGCAACAGTTTGCGTATCCCTTTTTTTTCATTTGAGTAGGCACAGTGAACTTGGATTAACTGCATTCAATCTACAAAGAAGTTATGTGCTTCAGTTATGAATGGCTGAGTCATGTTTAAGTCACCTGATACAGGCCTGTTATTGTCATGCGTTTGACTTGCATGTAATTGATTTTCCAAAAGAAAGAAATCGCCGAGTCAAAACTGGAATCCGATAGAATGCTCCGATCGTATTGCCTTCAGCTGCCGTGTGAGGTTATAGAGGTAGCTCAGTGGCAACTGATGTAGGGTACTAGCACCCCATGCTGAATGGGAGTTCAGCTCCTGGGGTGCTGCTCTGGAACCGACCGTAACCTCTGCCCTCGCTCGGGAGGAGACTATTGAAAATAACAAGTTCCTGGGAGCACCACCAACTGCAGATCCGTGGAGCGATACGACTTCCCTACAAATGCTCCAGTCAGAAGGGCCGTCCTTAGCCACAGTGTATATGTCATTAATATGCAATCATACATCAGCATCAAAGGACCAGGATGCATCAGACCCAAGCTGACCTACTTATCACTAATGCTAAGTTATTATAATTCCTACATTGATCATTAGCCTCGCACGGAGAAACAGTTGCCTGGATGTGCATGAGTGCGTTTTTGTCTTTGTGCACATGTGTGAGTGCACCAAGAAGTTGTTGCTCCGTCAAAACACATCACGTGCCGCAAGACACACATTGATTAACGCTAAAGGCAGGCACATGGATCCGTTAAGACACACACAGAATTTTCTTCCGTTATCTGCTTTGTAAACTCCATGCAAAGGTCCGGAACACCATAGTAACCTGTAACCTGCCCTATGATGCCGTCCCATAGACATTGAAAGCCTGGCCGTTGTATTTGCGTATGTTTGAAGGTAACCTTGATGATTAATAACGCATGTGCATAATGCCGCTGTGTGTTTCCTGGAGCGCTAAACGAGGGCCGTAAATGCTAGAAAAGCTCTGCCTGTTAATATGAGAGCGCTCTAACTAAAGATAATCGATTTCATTGGTTCAAACGGGTCTGGGTCTAGACCGGGACCGTGGTCCACCTATCGGTGAACACTGCTCTGTCCTACTGTCTACAGCACAGAAACTGGATGCATTCTACTTCCCTGTTGATGGATAAATTAACTTTTTTTTTTTCTTCTCTCCCCTCTAGGTTTCATCTACACATGCGGTGGCACACTGAAAGGCCGAAATGGAAGCATAGAATCGCCAGGCTTTCCCTATGGCTACCCCAACGGGGCGAACTGCACCTGGGTCATTGTGGGGGAGGAAGGAAGCAGAATCCAGCTCATGTTCTTGTCGTTTGCCATAGAAGAAGAATATGACTTCCTGTCCTTGTATGATGGACATCCGCATCCGGCTAACTTCAGGACCAGGTAGGACCAGTTATTGCTTTAATGATAACTTGTTTCTTGCAAACCGGTGGTAAAAACAAGGTAGCTTTTTTTAGTTTTTCTTTGCTAAGTCACAATAGTAATGATAATTAATGATAATTACTGATAACCTTCATTAAAAACAAATATGGCAAACACCGCACTAAGACCTGTTATGGCTCAAAGCCCTCTGTTTATCAATAGATTACCAAGTGAAGTGCTGCCAGTTTTCAATTATTTAAGCTCCAGCTATGAGAAGGTAGTCCATTGTGCTTCTGCCAATTTAAGAAATGAGCTGTGATGAGCTCAAAAAATTGTCATGAATGAAGGAATTAATTCAAAAGAAAACTGAAAATAAGAGAAACCAGACGGAGAGTGCAGACATGAATATAGATGCTCACGTAGAGGACGTTACCGCGCTGGGCTGGATGAGCAATACTATTGCAGCGGACCAGATGACCTCTCACAGCAACAGGTTGCCGTCACACCGTACACTTTGCCCCCATAACAGGGACACTGTGGTTTCACTTTTGTTATTGAACTATTTTACTGAGCTCAGAACACCCAGAAAGAAGCTCATTTCAGATAAGCTATTAAACTCTCCTCGCGTTATGATTTTATCAGAAAATAAATGGTGCCTCTAAAGTCGGCACATTTTTACAGCCGATATGTTTTATATCAAGAAAAAGAAAAAGAAAGTGTCTTGTCTAAAAAGAACACTGATTGGCCATTGCGTTTGTTCCTTCACTTGTCTTGATAAACTACCTGTGAATGAGCTCTATTGTATGATTCACCTGGAACTAATTCTTGGAATCAAGAACATCCAACCTGAGACCAAAAGGCTCCACCCAAGAGGCTCTCCTGCTGACTCCTCTTCTCCAAGCCGGAGGCCCATTCTTTCATTCCCATTCAGGTCTTTGCTGGTTCGGCTGAGAGATGCACGAACCCACAGAGGGAGTTCTGCTTGAGGAACAAATCCACCAAACAAAAGAAAAGACACCTAAACGAGATGCCAACTCTCCTCCTCACACCGCGTTAATACCAGCGCGGTTGGCCACAAACGAGTTCATCTGCAGGCCGCGTGCAATGCTAAAGCATAACTCAACTAGATCCTTTATCCTAATCCTCTAAGCACCTTGATAATGGATATTCGCATTATTATGTTCATACGTGAATCACTTCCAATATTTAATGGTTGTTTAACATGGGAATTGTTACTGTTCTCACTAATTTGAAGAGGACGGGGCCTTGATTTAAAAAAAGTTGATGTGATCATTAATTTCCGAGCACCAACCAGACGATGGCCACATCTGAATTGAAATTAAACAACGTTAGTCGGATTATTTTGTCGTTACAAGGAACACATATCTTTGTTGAAAGCAGATCATGCGTGGATCATAATGTATTTTTGCTCTTTATCTTAATTAGTTGGCTTACAAATGGCAAACATTTCAAAGACAACGGAAGAGAGACTATTCATTCTCACCTTGGGATAATTTGGCTTTTTTCTAGGGCTGTCAATAGATAAAAATCTCACATTTTGAGATTCAATTCATTTAATTAATTCATCAGTCTGGAAACGTATTGCTTATTGGCCGAGTAACATCCCATGTGATTAAGAACGCATGTGTCTAATTGTTCTGTGTGTATCCTGGACCGCTAATTGAGGGCCATACATGTTTTACTTCTAATGCGAAAAGCTCTCCATCTTTAACCACCGCTTCCGTCCCTCTGATCTAACTGACTGCAGCATGCGGCGGTTTCGCGTCAGGGCTCAACGCACAGCAGAAGTAAACAAAGTTTCCTTAACTGGGTTAAAATACTTAAGCACGCTTTTTTTTTCTTGTCCTCTTGAATTTCAATGTCAACGTAAAAGCCTCCATGAAGTTCTGCCGAAGGTCAGAGACCGATGGCTTTTATCACATCCAGCGGGTTGGAGGGAACTATCTCTGACGTAGCGCTGAGCAAGAAATTCTGGTTCGGTTCCGTTGAATGAAATCTATTTGGGTCATGGCGAGATGAAATGAGTCCTCTTGATACTCTGTCAATTGCTGAAAAGCAATTCTCTCACTCTACAGAACGAACCACGTTCCTTTGGTTCAAAAGGGATAATTTCTAATCAGCTAACTGCAATAATAAACCTTTCTCATTCAATCCATTGGCTTTTAGTGCTCAAATTGCCGTAGAGAGTTAATTAAACAAGGGAACAGAATGTAACATAATGGTGTAAAATATAATAAGACCTTTTCCCTCTTTATACAACATACAACAATTCCAAATTCTGCAGAAGGGAGGACGAGAGAGAAGTGAAAGATGCCCTCTGTGCTTCTTATGGCTAGATTAGGATTTCCTGCCTATCTGACATAAATGGAAATGATTTGTTGCGTGAGTGTGTGCATGCATACATCCACGTGCATAGCATGTGTGTGCGCACGTGTCAGTTTTTGGAAGATTTATAGTCTGCATACTTGCAATTGCCCCGTTAGTTAAGCCAAATTACCTCGGCTGTATCTCTGTTTTTCTTTCTCTCCTTCACACCAACACGCACACATGCACTGAGACACAGCGCAGAATGGTGATTAAAAGGTTAGATCCATTAACAAGCAAATGGTAATTTAGGGGAGGGGGGGTGATTAACATGAAAAACACACACAGACATGGACACACATCCGTGCACGGACACACATTTCACATTTCATAAATGTAACTGAAGGTCTTGTGTTTGTTTTTTTTAAAGATTGTTGAAATGAAATGCATTAACCCCGTCTGAACTTTAAAGTGGGCCTTTGTTTCCTCTACCCAAAACGTCAAGTTCATTTTTTTCTTAAATCATCTTTCAAGGGGATGCTGCTGGTCCCTTCAACAATGTTTTCTTCTATTCATAAATTTCAGCAATTAGATTAAGCAACTATTTTCCATGTTCATAAACAAGTAAAAATCACCTTCCGTGATTGCTGCATTTCTACTAAAGACTAGTTCCAGCTTGACTCATGTTTTCTCAAATTTGATCTTTAATGCTGTCTTTGAGTTGTTAATATTGTTAAAGTGAATCAAGGTACCCAATGTGGCATCTCTACCTCAAAATTGAGAATACCTGTAAGAAATATGAGCTAATGACTAGATAATTACTTTAGAAATTTTGACACTCATGACTTTGGTATTTGAACTTCACACCCTTGGAATTTCTGTATAATGACCATTATTAAAGCTGAGAGGAGCTTTTGCTTCAAAGAGATTCATATGTGACTCATGCATGCAAAGAAGTAATTTCTTTTCTTGTGACAGTGACAATATTTTATCGGTTTTTGAGATGACAATATCACACTGCACGTGTGTGTGGATTTTGCGTCTTTTGACACAAAATGGTATATTAAGTATGAAATGTGGAATTGGGAGCAACTGGTTTGTAAGAGATTGCAGAATATTTGTCATAGTCCTCTTCATTCTGGCAGTGATGTCACCAGTCTGACCACTCCATGTACACCCATTATTCAATATGCACATTCAGCCCAACACAATACAGAGCTTTGTTAATGTTTTAGACTTAAAATAATGTTTCCTTGGAGAGTCACAATGTTATCTTATCTCTCTTAACACCGGATTTCTATTCAAGCGAATATAAAAACTTTTTTTTAATTTTTAATGGTTGTCAAACCTCTGATTGAAGTGGTTGCACACCATTCCCAATCAGGCTGCACATTTTCATGTATTCTAAACCATGTGTTGTTTTACAAATGTCTTAATCAATTGAACTATTTAAGGAAACATCTAAATTGTCTAGTTGTTTTCTTTGTGGATCATGTAACCACAACGGAATTTTAGTATATGACTTAAATCACCTTCATTACAAAGCATTAGCGAAGGAAAAAGCAAGCAGGAGAAACCTGAGGTAAATCTACTTAACCTTCAACACTGGAGATGTGCTTTCATTTCTTGTCTTTGACCACAACAGCAATATTTTCTATAGTTTTGTAGTTTATTCCAGTTTTAAGATGAACCCTCATTGCATTGATGGTTACCTGGATACCAAGACAATCAAATAAACCATCGTTGTTTGCGCTTCAGCTTGTGGTTAGCCTTGGGTTTGAATGCTTATTAGTTTTTCCTTTAATGAAAATGCCAGTTGAGTCTTTTTTCATTTCTGCTTTACAAAGCCACACTTAAGAATGCCATGGTAGTTTTAATAAATGCTTACATTCAGTATTGAAGTATGTGGCTTCATGGCTTTCAGTTTGCTCTTCATTTAACAGTTTAATATGTAATATATATAAAAAAGAATGGACATGAGGTTCTTTACATTACACAGATTCAGTTCCATTGTCCTGTCTCCACGCGGATCTGTAGGCGATGTCTTCCTGTGTCATAAGCTGCCGTTTGAAATGACGGGTCTCCTGTCACTCACTGATATTCTGCCGTAGTATGTGTGAACGACCAGTAAGGTCGCGGGACATTCAATTGTTGGGGGTAGAAGACGTGAGTGGGACAACAATTAGAACTCAGAGAATTGAACAGCTGTCTGACAATTAATAATGTGTCAGTGCCAAGGGAGCATCTGAAACATTTTGGGCATGGACTGATGATCCAAGGCGAGTAAGAAACGGTGGAAGAAACAAGGCGTGTATTTCTTTGCCAGACTTTCAGGATTAATAATACCAGATTGAGGATTTGATTCTGACGGTGTGTGGGACTCATGCCCTGTTGGCTACTTTCAAAAAGCTTTTACAAAAGCTTAAATGCTAAAATGCCATTGGATTCCATTGAAATAAAGTCAGAAAGAGTTTTGGAGAAAGAAAAAACAAGGATTGCCTTGGATGAATAATTGCGAGCAACTCAAAGACTTTGAATACAGCTCCAAAATCCCACATTCCCACAAAAACATTCACCCCTAGACCTGAAAACCTGGTCTTCTTTAAAATTATGTAACCAAGTGATAATTTAAATGAGGATATATCTGAAGCCCACGTTCTGGCTAAAACCAAAAAATAAAATCAATTCATTCATGT